CCCCGCGGGCGTGGGGCGCGGCCGCGCCGGGAACTGGAAAGTGAAACTCGGGGCGGCCCCGCCTGGAGCCGAGCGCCGCTTCCCGCTGTGCAAGCGCGGCCCGGGCGCGGAGCTCGGCCCCGAGCCATGGACGGCGCCGGAGCGGAGCCGCGTTCCTGGCAGCTCCCGGCTGGCGAAAGAGTGGAGAGCCGCGGGGCGCGGGGGAGCCGGGAGGATGCGCTGCGGCACCAGCCGTTCCCGTCTGGCTCCCGTGTGTGCGGAGCAGCATCCTCGGAGGTGGGAGATTCCTGCCTTTCCTTGGTTGCAGCCCTCTTCCCCACCACCCGCGGATTCTGGCCGAGGCCCCAGAAGCAATAATGCATGGCAAGAATCTCTTTGCTAATTTAATGTGCTAGTGCTCAGTGCTGCTCTGAGTATAGAGCTGAGTGCTCGATAAAGACATCCGCTTCCTGATGCTGTGAGGAGTTGGGCTTTGGCCAGAAGGTCTGTGTTTTTACTTATGTTGTATAAAGAAAGTCAGAGCCACCTGCTGCTACTTTTTCTGTTATCCAAAGGACAGCTCATTCTATAAGAAATTTTGTCTGTGCTAGGAAAATTCTTGTCTTCATTAATTCTGCATTCTGGCCTGTGGAAAAAAGTGTTATTTTCTTAGTGTATTCAAGACTTATTAGCATAAGTGAACTCTAGGCGTAACTTGTTTTTTTTTTTTTTTATCAGAAAAAAGGGTACCAAGGAAACACCAGTGCAAAGGCTCAAATGTAAAACACTATTTTTTTTTTAATATGATGGAAGATGTCCAAAATATGCTGACTACCAGGCCAAAACACTTAGCTGTTATATTGGGAAAAATAATATGTTCGATCGTAATTAAGGAGTATCTTCTTTTCTTTGTAGGGCATGCTGCTGATCGTCGCTTTATGCAAACAGGCAGGAACAGAGTAAATAGTGGTCCAGGCCAGGCTCATACGAGAGTAACTCAGGCTGTGAAAAAAAAACAGGCTGATAATTACCCTCTTCTACCTGGGCAAAGAGAAGAGGGCTTTGGTGGTCCTGGCCGATTCTTCAATCATGGAAGAAAATACCAAGGTGGACAGGCCACAGGACACGGCAATGAACAGGAGAATGAGGAAAGGCGAAGGAAGCATCAGGGTGGACAAGCACATGAGAGAGCCAAAGGGCCTTGGAATGAGCAAGAAAACGAAAATAGGGTGAAGTGGTATCAAAGTGGAAAAGCACATGAGAGAACCAGAAGACCCTGGAATGAGCAAGAAAATGAGGACAGGGGAAGGAAGCATCAGAGTGGACAAGCCTTTGATGGAGCTAGAGGGCCGAGGAATGGGCAGGAAAATGAAGGTAGAGGAAGGAGGATGCAAGTCGGGGAGAATCCTCGTTTCTTCCAGAACTCTAACCCAGGTGGTGCCCAGATTAGTGAGCAGCCTCAGCAAACCAAAAGGATTGGTTACAAGTTCCTAGAAAGTCTCCTCCAGAAAGACCCTTCTGAAATTGTTATCACGCTTGCTTCCAATTTGAGTTTGAAGGAACTTCTTTCCCAAACTTCTATGAAACCCTCTTTCCTTCAGCTCATCTGTCAGGTGCTTCGAAAGGCATGCAGTTCCCGGATGGATCGACAGAGTGTCCAGCAGCTTCTTGGAGTGGTGAAGGAGTCCAACTTTCTTAAGATCTGTCTGCCGCAGTACGTGTCTGACATGATAACAGAGGCAGTTCCTGCTGTACGACATCAGTACCCTGAGCATATTGGCAACATCATCTCACTTCTTCAGGACCTGGTCAGTATTTTCCCAGCAAGCTCTGTACAGAACATCTCCATTCTTTTGACAGTCTTGCCAGTATCTTTAAATGCCCTGCGAGCTTCTGGTGTGGATATCACAGAAGAAACAGAGAAGAATCTAAATAAGGTCCAGATGCTTGTGCAGCACTTGCAGGAGAAGAGACGGGAAGGCACACTGAGGGCTGACAACTATAGCCTTATGCAACCTCAGGCTGATGGTCAGGAAGAAACCTATCGTCAAATGGCTATTTATCCAACATATAATGAGGTACATAATGATGAGAAACCCTTTCTACGCCCCAATATAGTTTCTGGAAGATATGAGAGCACCAGCATTTATCTGGACACTCATTTCCGCCTCCTGAGAGAAGACTTTGTAAGGCCTTTAAGGGAAGGGATCCTAGAACTTTTGCAGAGCTTTGAGGACAAGGGTTTGAGGAAGAAAAAATTTGATGACATCAGGATCTATTTCGACACACGTATTATCACCCCCCTCTGCTCCTCATCTGGTATTGTTTACAAGGTCCAGTTTGATACAAAGCCATTGAAGTTTGTACGATGGCAGAATTCCAAAAGGTTACTGTATGGATCCCTGGTGTGCATGTCTAAAGATCACTTTGAAACATGTCTTTTTGCTACTGTCTCAAATCGCCACAGTGCAGATCTGGCCCAGGGGATTGTGCAACTATGTTTTAATGCACAGAGCCAGGCACTCCTGGCAGAGGTTCAACCCTCGGACTCATTCCTCATGGTAGAGACAACTGCTTATTTTGAGGCCTATCGGCATGTGTTGGAAGGCTTACAGGAAATCCGTGAAGAAGATATTCCATTCCAGAAGTACATTGTGGAATGTGATGTACATGTAAAGGAGCCAGCATACCTGACAATGGGCTCTACCTATAACTTTGCACCCCTGATGGAAGATCCTCCAACAGATGAAGAGATGTATCCTGATGGCTTGAGAAGGCAGAGCGTCAATGTTCTAGACCCTAACCAGTGGCCTACAATGGAAGCTTTGAAATTAGATGAATCTCAGATGCAGGCATTGAGTCTTGCACTCACCAAGGAGCTGGCTATTATTCAAGGACCTCCTGGAACTGGTGAGAAACACTTGCTTTAAATCACTATTATTTAAGAATTTGTACTTGACTTCCAGAATTAGGAATATCTGAATATCTGAAATATTCAGTTTTGGTCTCTCCAAAGCTTCAGACCCATGCCTAGTAGATGCCTGAGTAGCCCAATTAGTGAGGGCTGTGGGAAAGAAGGTTAAAATATCCCCAAATACCCATATATTCATCTAAGTCAGATATGATCTTACGTATTTGCCAGTAGACCCTAGACCAGGCTTTGGAGTGAAGAAGTTTTCAACTGACTGATACCGCAGGGTCTCTAGCTGAGCAACTGCTCTAAGTGTTCATAGTACATTAAAACATTGAGAGTGTTCAGCTCTGGTCGTCTAGGTGTACGAAGCATTGCAGTAGTGACTGCAGGCTTGTGTAAACCCTCTCACAATTGTTGTGGGGAAGGTCGATGAATTTTCTGAATGGTGCCTGAAGGATTTGCTACTTTATCTTCTTAGTATCTGATTTTTTTTTTAATGTACAGCTAACTCTCACACACAGAAACAGTATCTGACTCTAGTTTATTAGCTAAAGGGCAGCACTCTTGCACAGCACAGCCTTGCTCAGTTAAAGCCCAGAAAAGTTAGCAGTAGTGACCTGCCACTTTATTTACATACAAAACTTAGATATCTCTGGGGTAAGATACTGCTTGGCACTGATGATGTTTGCACCCAGAGGGAAGCCTTATATCTTGTTTTGATTCCTGTGTTTCAAGACACCCTATAGAGGATAGATTACACTTTTCTGAGCTTGTTTTGCAGGGAAGACCTACGTGGGTTTGAAGATTGTTCAGGCTCTCTTGACAAATGAGCATATGTGGCAAAGTGTGGTCCAGAAATCACCCATCCTTGTAGTGTGTTACACTAACCATGCACTGGATCAGTTCTTAGAAGGTAAGAATGTTTAATAAATATGCAAGGGTATAGATATTTCAGTATTTGCTCTTTTTTCCAGCTAGCCTACCTCTGGGCATAACAACATGCCCTTATGACCTTTGCTACTTACTCCACCTCAGCTGCCATACAAAAAAGCTGTTCAGATCAATCCAGTGTAGAGCTTGTAATCAAATGCTCTTCTCCCTACCTGTAGAACTGCTGCAGAAAACAGAGTTTGGCTCTTCAGCATTAATATTTCTGTTTGATTCCCAGGAATATACACATTCCAAAAAAGTGGGATGGTGCGTGTTGGGGGAAGAAGCAGCAGCGAGGTCCTGAAACAATTCACCTTGAGGGAGCTGAGGAAGAAGTGTGAATTCCGACGCAACTTGCCAATGCATCTTCGCAGGGCCTATGTGAACGTACGTGCAGTTTGCCAGAGAGCACAGGGAACAGGGTTGCCTGTCCACTGGAGAAGCTCTCTAAGCTTCTTCTTCTAGACATGCTCTTTCACCCTGTCTTTTACACTGAAATCAGCCTCTTAATCCTCTGTCCTTGTTTGCTTTATCAGTATCTTGTCCTGCTGTTTCGGAACTTTGTTCGTCTGGGTATGATGGTGCCTGTCTTCTCTCTGTTGAGTAGATAACCAATCAGATGAAACAGGCTGAGCAGGAGCTTCATGAAGGAGCAAAGCACTTGGAGTGCACTACATACGGAGTGCTGCACGAGCGCCACTTGGAAGCGTGCATTGCCCCCCGGCATTGGGACAGTCTGATGAATGGTCTGGTAAGAGAGGTTCTTTTCTTCCGAGTTAAGCATTCCCAGTGTCTGTTAGTATATTCCTATGCACTTTCTGCAGATGACACTGAGGATCGCAAACACACTTTCTTTAGCCTCACTCAGCTACTAGGAAAGAGGTGAAAGGAATGGCAAGCCATGCTAATTGACTGTGGCCTCTAAAAAGGTTTGGGGGTGGTGGGAGGGTTGTTCGTTTTGTTTGTTTTTGGTCAGAGCTTTAAATTTTGCTTCTGTAAACTGTGCTGATCTCAACTGATTGTCATCAGTGTAAAAATATAAGAGTCCAGAAGAAAGCCCCTT